GACTATAATCTATATGTAATGATGGATGCATACATTATATATATAGAGACTCCATCGAAGGATTGTTAGGTAGTAAATGGGAAGCCGTTAAATCGAGTCCCCCTCCGTACACGACACTTTCGTCACTTCTACGGTTACCAGTCCGATCATCCCTCCTACTCTGTTTCTTGCCGGCTCCAACAATTACTCACTATGGAGTATGTGTATATTTATACAACTGTATATAGAAATCACCATATATTAAAGGAAAAGCATATACTCCATATATACTAGAGCATTAGTTTAGCCTTGAATGGTGTGGTGAGCCACTGTTCCTACCTCTATAAGATGTTATATTTGGTAAAAGCATATACTATATATTTTTATATATATATATATAACTATTAGTTTAGTCATGAATACTGTCTCTATGTTTTTTTTTTTTTACACGCCATTGATTTTTACCATTTGGAGAAATTGCATGAACCTTCTTATTTATTTAATCTTAATTCATTCTTATCCACTCGTCTTTAGAGTTTAGAGTTACTTTTGTGGTGCTGAATAACCAAACCATAGAATATATATGCATACATATATATATATATATATATATATATATATATAAGTTTAGAGTTAGTTTTGTGGTGGTAAATAACCAAACCATATATATATATATATAAACAAAAGAAGGTGGATGTATATCTGCGGCTGCAAGTAGCTGCCTCTGAGATTTGCCTCTACTTTTCAATCCAACCTCAATAGATTCTTTTATTATTTATCTTGTCATAATCAATTTGTTAGTGGGCCTCAAGGTGCAAAAAGCAGCAATATTAAAAAAAAAAAAAATTAAACATAATAGTAAGGCCACAATACACCTAATCTATTTAATTAAAATATACAGAAATGTTATTGAGACTACACCTTACTACACACACACACAGGTATATGCACAGAACACTATTTATAATTTTTTTTTTCGGAAGTTATTTATTTATAATTTTATGGACACTATACCTTTCATTTGATTGATTCCCCTATATATCATGATTTATATTCATTGGGTGAAATATGAGTTTTACATTCAACCCTTCATATTTTAACATCAACTGAAACAATAGTGAGATAGTCCGAACCCCTTGGGTAGACTCCAATTGATAGAAACTTGAGAAGCATCAAGTTTTGAGAGGGTGTGTGAGTTAAAAAAAAAAAAAAACATTGGGTATTACTCGAGGAGGCGGGCCTTTTAGCCAACGCCTAAAATGTAGGCTATAATGAGCTTGGACGCCTAAGGAGTTTAATCTCATCCCGAATCATGTCTCTATTTAGGCGTGTCGTGTTAGTCTTATTGTGAGCATTAAATGCATTCCGTTCTTCAACAACGGTCGTGGTTGGGAGAAAAAAATTGATATATTTGACTGACTCTTTTTTATCGACTACATAACAGACCTTATGTGAGAATTAGTAATTAAAATAGGCACCTAAAAAAGAGTTTTATTGCTTTTAAAAGATGACAAGAGTCTTTGCTGGAGTACAAAAACCGATCCATTTTTATAGCATTACTCTTGAGAGAAGTAATGATTCTTCTCAGAACATTAAATGTGATTGTAAGTGTCTCATCGAGGCACATATGTAACCCACCATTCCTTCGACTAGGCCTACGCTTAACGCTAAGCATGTTCCAACTCTTTATCCTCCAATCCAAAAATATTCTAAATGTCCCAAGAAGTTGTGAATGCTAAAGATGATCCTACCTCCATCTTGTTTTCCTTCTCCAACTTCTGACTTGTATTACCACGTACCATCCTGACTTTTTGCTAGACTTGAATTTTTCTAGTGACACATCCAGATTTTAGTTTCTTGCTTTGTTGACTTTTTAACGTATGCGCTATTGTATCTTGTCACTTAATTTTATATAAGCTATTTTGACTTTTCAAACGTGTCACGTACTTGACATTAAACGACACCTACAATATAAATTTGACGTCTTGGAATTGAAATTTAAAAAACATTAATTTAATTTCATATCATCCAACAGCTTATATGCTACTCGTATGGTGAGAATAAATAACTAGCTTTTCACCGCACCAAACTTCTCCAAATAGAGAGAAGCCAAGTCCTCCGAGAGTTGAGAGTACTTGTTTTATTTCATTATTAGATTGGAATTTAGTTCTGAGTCCACTCTGCTTTATTTTATCGTGTATTTTTTTCCTTTGTGAAGCAAATTAAGGTTCAGTTTTCATTTTACTTGTATCCATGTATATAAAATTCCTTCTTAGATCACCAAGCACCAAAGTTTATAGAAAATATGTCACACCAAACTGCTCCATTTGCCAAATCTGCATACAGACAAATTAAGGAAGACATTAGACATGGATTGATAAGAATGTTGTCAGAAATGTTGGCCAAGTACATAAAGTTGGATGGCGAACATTGGTTGCAAGTGGAGAAACTACTTGAAATAGAATGATTAAAACTATATGATGCAAAAAAAAAACAAAAACCAAAAACAATGGATGCAAGTAGAGAAATTATTTGAAATTGAAAGATTGAAACTATTGTTGGTAGCGGTATTCGGTCCTTATGTTTTAAAGATTTGAATCTTAATAAAGATATGTATGTATGAATATTAACTAAAAAAAAAATTAATTGAAGTTGTGTGTGTGTTAAGTGAGGAGAATTTTTAATCCATGAAATTGATAAAAATAAAAAGGGTAAAAAAAAAAAAAAAAATTCCCTGAACTATAGGGGTTTTGCAGAAAACCCCCATAAACTATAATTTTGTTGTAATTTACCCCATGACGTCATCTTTCGGTACCAGAAAAAGAGAAAGACCCATTTACCCTTATCAAATTTTGCGTTGTTTTAACTTATACCCTTCTTACTTTTTTTTATTATTATTATTTTTTTTCCTACCAAAAGATGTGTTCACCAAATACATCCTAAACCAGAGAGCGGAGAGAGAGAGAGAAGAGACCAAAGATGATGGCGGCCTCAGATGATGGCGACTTGTGCACGGAGGGCTCGGCGATGATGAGAGCTCGTGGAGAGCTCAGTTGACTCGGCCATGAAGAAGAAGCTAGGCTGCAAATGGAGACAACGACGATCTTAAGAGGGCTCGGCGGCGAACTATGGAGAACAGCGGTATGCTCGGCTATGGACGGCTATGGATGGTTCGGCTATGGGCATTAAACCAGAAAATTAACGCCGGCGAGGTGGGGATCCCAACACCGCAACCACCCATCACCAATACTGCGACGGTGCATGGGTCCACCTTCCATGGCCGTTTTGACATTCTCTCTCTGCGATGGTGTTCCCCAATACGCTAATCTTCGATCTACGGTGAAGATGGGTCGTCTCACCCATGACGGCGAAGTTGACGATTAGGGTTTCGAGGCAAGGAGTACCGTCGGTATTGATGAATAGCTCTTAGGGTTTGACTGGAACCAATACGGTTGTGGAAGAGGTCGGCAATGGTGATGGGCTGGCTGTGACGGAGCTATGGCAGAAGAGACCCACCAATCCCAGTATCAAATTCCTTTGCTTCTTGTTCTGTAAATGGGTTTTGATTTTTTGATTTTTTTGATTTTGATTTTTTTTATTGTTGTTCTGTAAATCCAAATAGATCGATGAAGGAAGAACAGTGAATTAGTTAGGACTTGTTTGGGTGTTTCATGGGCATTATAGTCTTTTAAATTTGATAAGGGTTGTATGGTCATTTACATAAATTTGGCCTCTCACTTGCAAAGAAATTGATCGGCCGATTGCCGGATTGGATAAAGTGCAACAAACTGAATAGTTTAAGGGGGGTTTTTTGCTTATTTTGAAATTTCGGGGGGTTTTTTGCTCATTGGGGTATAGTTTAGGGAGGTTTAATTCACTTTACCCAAATAAAAATACATAAATACCCTTATTATTACCTTTGTCCAAAAACTAGTAGGATTTATTTTTTATTTTTTATTTTTTATTTTTTTCCAATCAATTGCAGAGATATTCTAATACTTCCCTTGGAAGTGAAAAAGGAGAAGGGTTACCTTTGTTTATATATATATATATATATATAAAAATTTGAGGACGGACCATGATAATATTTTTTCTATGCGACATGTTAAACTATGGGTTCGAAACTCTCTTTTAATATATATATATATATATATATATATATATATATATATATATTTATTATGCGCGTTACGGTGTGTCTACCTATAAATTTGTTGTTCGGTGTGTCTACCTATAAATTTGTTGTTATTGTGAAAACAAGATTAAAAAAATATGTTTCAACAAAACGGACAAACGAAAAAATAAGCCAATCAATGGAACATATAAAAACAGAGGACAAAGCCAACTAGGTCACTAACAAGCAGGTCACAGAAGAGTTCAGATTCAGTGGAGGAATTACCTTTTGCCAAGTTCACTTCAGAAACCACCTCTAAAAAAAAATACATGAGATGCCTAAATTCAGGTACATGATGTTTACTATTTTACATAATAAAACTCTGGTGGGTCCATCTTATTCCAAATTTTAAGTGCCCTTTGAGTCATCAAAATTATTATTAATAAGAAGTCATCAAAAATTCCATTTCTATTTCATAATTTTACTATAGAATAACCCACATTTCGTCATCAATCATAAGGTGTTTTGGCTGAGAGAATTTATTATGATTCTAAAATTGACTAATGCCTCCTCACATCACAAACTTCTTCCGTCACCTGTAAGCATTATATTTCATATTCAATGATTATACAAAACCAAAATTATCCATAAATGCATGGACATGCATTTCATAATCAAATACATAATATTGTCATGTTACATCAACTCAACATGGCATCATCAGTTGTTTGGGTCACATAGATACAGCTCTAATCACCATATGCATACATTATAATCATTATATGCATACATAACATACACATTTGAAGTTCTATTCCTATGGATGTTTTAAGTTCTGCTGTCGTATGCCCCTGAATACTATTAATATGGCCCACTTTCATGGCCTTCTCCTCCTATAAAACCCCTCTACTCTGTCATTCCCTACCATCTCTATATTCTCTGCAAATCATATCTTCAAGTATCAAATCTCATATATTTATTCGGCCATGCTTCCAGCTGAGGTCGCCGGAATCCACTATCTAGTTCCCGAACCTCCATCCCCATTTCCTACTAACTTGGGTATGATGCAAAACAACATACCATTACTCCACTACAATGGATTCTTAACCAACTATCCGAATTCTCAAGCCTCTCCTGTCAACGAGTTCACTCCGCAGTCGTGCATCAGCAGTAACTCGACTTCTGATGAAGCAGAGGAGCACCAACTAAGCGTCCTTCATGAAAGGAAGCAGAGGAGAATGATTTCGAACCGAGAATCTGCTCGTAGGTCGCGGATGCGGAAACAGAAGCACCTGGACGAGCTCTGGTCGCAGGTGGTCAGGTTGCGAACAGAGAATCACGACCTCATAGACAAGCTGCACCACGTGTCTGAGCGCCATGACAGGGTTCTTCAAGAGAATGCACGGCTCAAGGAAGAAGCTTCTGACCTTCGCCAATTGCTCGCTGACTTCCAAATTGGTAGTCCGTACTATGCCTTAAGAGATCTGGAGGAGGTTACCTGCAACACAGCTCATCTCAGGGCTGAATCTTCGAACCACTCCATCAATACTTCCACAAATCTGCTCCATTGAGAGAGGGGCTGTCCTTCACAGTTAGGTTCTTCACCCCTTCCGTTCAGTACGGATGTTAAATGAAAATTCATATTTTCCTTCACTGAATCTGTATGTGATCACAGTTTGGATGTAAAACGATAATTTATAATTTCCTTCACTGAAGTTGTATGCGATCAAAAACAGACTATCGAATAACATCTTTTAGCAATTTCTGTTCCAACTCAGCTAATTAGTTGTATACAATAAAACTCGAATATACCTGTTTCCAGCTCCTCTTGCAGCATAATTACCCAGCATCTTGTGGAGCAAAATATGTGAAAATGAAACCACCAAATCAAAGACTCCATCATGACTTTTTTCCAATGATAATAGTCAGAAGCACACCAGCTTCAATCACGGAGTAGTCACCTGAGGAGTGGTGGGTCAGAAAAAGGAACATGAAAAATTCTCTGAGAAAAGTAAATAGTAAATCTGGTGATACAAAATTTAAAGATTCACTGTTAAACAAGGAAGTAATATTTTTGTCCGATGTACCATAACAAGTTCAAAATCAAGTAAAATTTTGAGTGGGTGGCCCCAAAGGGAACAAGACTCCAGTAACTCTGAAGAAAGTCCCCTTGACAGTCCTGTGTTGCACACAATAACACAGGCAATGGGACAAATGGTGGTGGAGGTGCTGGTGGTAGTGGCTCATAATAGAAAGATCTACCATAAGAAGCAAAACATTTGAAAAGGCAACCCACTAAAAACAAGCTACTGTTTTTAGCTTTTTGTGACGATGTGAGGAATTTCAAAAACCTCTCTAAGTTTCACCCCAGCTTGTGTTGCCTTCATCATTTTGGACTATACCTGGCTAAGAATATGGTTCAAGTGTGCAGTGTGCTCATCTTCATTTCACATTGCCATATGGTATTGCATTAGCAATTCTCTCTCTCTCTCTCTCTCTCTTCCTTTTTTGCATCTTTCACTTTAACTATTCCTGCAAATTTCATTTGACAGTATCCGCTTTATCACATTTTAACCAGATGCAGACAAAGTTCAACCTAATGTTGTTTAATGAGGTGTATTCAAGTACATGGTACTCCATGCATTAGTATTTGCATAATACAAGATGGATGAGAGCTATATGAAAAAACTATTTTTCACAAGATTAAGGCTGTGAAGAGAGACCTCTGATGACAAGGGCCATGAGATCTCTTATTGATCGTTGGATATAGAGATTTATTAAAAGATTCATTAGACTTTTCATCGATCTCAAAAACTGTCTAAATCCGGTGATTAATAGAGCTAGCTCATGGCTTTTGTCATGAGAGGGCTCTCTTGATAACCTTACACTTTTCACAAAGTGGTCTCACTTTCTCATTAAAACAAAATGGGCACTTAATTATGGATGACTATCATGAAGACGAAAAAACAATTCTTGTACAAATAACGCAGTAGATAGTTTCCAAAAGCATTGTCCATATCTTATTTTATACTAAATAAAGTTCAAAGAAGCCACTTTTCTTCATTTTGATAAGTTATAGAAATAATTTACATGTCAACAAAGTATGAATCTTCTTATCCTCAAAATACAGTTGCAGTGAATGTAGTCAAACATTTACAATCTGTTTCTGATACACAACTTATCCACTTGTCCCTACCACCAAGCTCAACATCAACTATTGCATTTTATTGTTCGTCCACAAAGAATTTATATAGAAGGCCCACTAATAATTGATTATAATGAGATTCAATTTGTTCAAGGCAATATAAAAAGGTTGTTTGTGATATAATTCCTCCGGCCATCATTCTATCTCGTGTTGAAAGACATTTTCTAATAGGCAATCCGAGAATAAAACGTTGCTTTAAGAAGAAATACCTTAACCTGACCATGTCAAGCAAGTCAAGTAAAATCAGGGAGTACTCCATTTAAGGCTCACCAAGTGTATGTAACCCACAGAAACTGCCCGTTTGGAGAGTCTAAAAGAATCTATTCTCTCATTCCTAATGAGAAACCAAGCACTGTTGTTTAAACTCAGTTAGTACATTAAAATTATCAACAACGGCACCTCAAAATAATTAACAAGACCTGCATCAAATATCACTTGAATACCATATAACCAATAATGGTGCCCTTATAATAGTAGAAAAATATGATAATGTATGACTAAACATACATGACCTTCTATTTTTATATCAATGGATATTAGACAATAAATCCAACTCAACAAGCCATAAAAGTAAATTATTTATTGCAACTACAAGAAATCCTATTTCTCCATTCAAACCTAAATGAAGTGCTATCTTATTTTTTATTTTTTATTTTTTTTGAAAAAATATGAAGTGCTATCTTATGTTAAAGCATAGGCTACTGCATTGTTTTCAGTGAGTGCTCAATTTGACCTTTCTCTTGACCTGGTGAGACCTTCAACCTGAATCAAATCACTCATTACTTTTGTAAGCAATCCTTGTTGCAAATGAGCAACACTTTTAAAACGACTTTAACATAATTTTATCCTTAATTGGCCCTTGCCAACAATTAATCTTCTTCTTCTTCTACTTTTTTCTTTTTACTATAATCTTTTTTTATTTTTTTGCGGGTTTCGACAAATAGCTCACACACACACTTTTTGCCCATACATGGACTTGAATCCGTAGTATGTAAGGTTATACCACCAAGATACAACCCTTGGTGTACTATATAGCATAGGATTCTCAGTAAACATCTATAGTAAATTTTTTTTTGGCTGCAATCAAATGAGTTTGTTCATATATTGGCTTTAGCAGAATCAATTTTCAGAAGCTAATTATTTAACGAAAAAAATAATTAAAAAAGAAAAACAGCAGCTAATTTTCTAGTCATGTTGCTCTGTTGTTGCAATGATATTGTTCTGGTTGTACTGTATAGCATATCATGGTATGCTCTATAAGTTTGAACACAGGTTGGGAAATATTTTTTAAAACCCTAGATTCTAAATAAAGCACAAAAGAACTGGAATCCCAACAAGCTATGAATATGTCATGCATATATAAATGTGTATATAATATATATATATATATATATATATATACCTAAGCTTTCATGACAAAAACAAAAGGATTTAAATGAAGTAAATAGAGAAAAGATGAATGTTCAAGTAATTGAGGATTAAAAATGTCACCTTCAAATTCTTCAGTGAGAATCGCAGATGAAATTGGAGAGGAAGAAGGCACTTTTCAGATGATTCTGATTTCAGAGGTCACGCCGAAAGAGGAGGTGGGCAATGGGCTGTTGCTTGGGCCGATGCATTAATAAGAATGATTTACAGGCCCAACACTTTGGCTGAAGAGTTGGGCCTCTGTAGCATTGTTTATGGATCGTACATTAATAGGTGAATTTGGTGAAATGCTGCTGGGTTTGGATTTCAAATTAAAACCTTTTTTTATTATTATTTTAAAATTTATTTTTAATATTATTATTTTAGTTGTTGAACATCTAGAGAGAGGCTTGAAATTAGAGGTTCTTGTCCTTTGTCAGATTCTAATAGGGAAGGTAAATATGTAATAATATTCAACACTTAGATTTTGGGTCAGGATAAGCACACGTTACAACTGCTATGCTATATAGTTATTGTAACGGGTGTATAGCATAGCAGACTATCAGTTGTAAAGGGTGCTTATAATATACCATGGCATGGTCTAGACGTTGGCCCAACACACTTGATACATTCTCATTTTGAAAACAACACTTTTAAATTATATGAGATTTTATGGACATTTTTCTTAGTTAATTTGGAATTAAAGTTTTGTGTAAAAATTTGAAAGTAATATATATATTTTTTCATTGACAAAAAATTCACTTATACACATATTTTTATCCACATTCGGGTTGAACCCCTCTCTCCCTACCTTTTTGAGGATGGGATCCCATTTGACTACTGTTTATTTGGACGTAATATATTTTTAAAAAATATTTTTTTTTATTTTCTGGTGTTTAGTTGTCGTAAAATATTTACGAAGAAAAAAATATTAAAATATAACAAAAATAACTTATCTAACAATTTTCGGCAAGTTATTTTACATGTCTCACCCGATGGATTCAACTTTAACCTCGACGTAGACCTTTACCAAACACCAACAAAGTAAAAATAAAAGAATATTGTGATGACCCTGTGGGCGGGTGTGCCATGGGCGGGTTCGAGACACTGACAGGCTACCACACTAGCGAGCTACAGGTGCACAATCTCATATCGCCTGAGAAAGGGAAAGGTAAAGTGCTTATATATAAGTGTATCATCTTCAATTGGTATGAGGCCTTTTAGGGTAAAGCCCAAGAGCAAAACCGTGCGAGCTTAGGCCCAAAGCAAACAATATCATACCATGTGGTAGAATGGGTTGTTACAAATGGTATCAAAGCCTGACCCAGCCAAAAGTGTGTCGACAGGGACGTCAGGCCTCAAGAGGAGTGGATTGTGATGACCCTGTGGGCGAGTGTGAGATACTGACAGACTACAACACTAACGAGTTACGGGTACACAATCCCACATCGCCTGGGTAAGAAAAAGGTGAAGTGCTTATATATGGGTGTGTCACTCCAATTGGTATGAGGCATTTTGGGATAAAGCCTAAGAGCAAAACCGCGCGGGCTCAGGCTTAAAGCGGATAATATCATACCATGTGGTGGAGTGGGTCGTTACAAATGGTATCAGAGCTTGACCTAGCCGAAAGTGTGCCGACGGGGACGTCGGGCCTCCAAGGGGGTGGATTGTGATAATCCTGTGGGCGGGTGCAAAACCGTATGGGTTCAGGCTCAAGGCAAACAATATCATACCATGTGTTGGAGTAGGTTGTTACAAATGGTATCAGAGCCTAACCTAGCCAGAAGTATGCAGACGGGGACGTCGGGCCTCCAAGGGGGGTGGATTGTGATGACCCTGTGGACGGGTATGCCATCGGCAGGTGCGAGACACTGAAAGGCTACCACTTTGGCGAGTTACAGGTGCACAATCCCATATCGTCCGAGAAAGGGAAAGGTAAAGTGCTTATATATAAATGTGTCATCTCCAATTGATATGAGGCCTTTTGGAGTAAAGCCCAAGAACAAAATCGTACGGGCTCAGGTCCAAAGCGAACAATATCATACTATGTGGTGGAGTAGGTCGTTACAAATATTATATTTGAAAAATAAAAATATTTTCAAAAAGATTATTTTACATCGAAACAAACGGACCTCAAATGTACTTCGGTGGAAGTAAGTTTCAAATACTAATTTCTTTGGATCTTTCACCAAATTTGAATAAACCTACTATTTTTTTTTTCTCTAGTTTTTGCTTAATTACGGTTGAGTTTGATCAAAATTTTAGTAAATTTCAGCCAACCTTTTTTTATATTAATATTTGTTTAAAAAATGCCCAAGTTTTGAATCTAAAAGTTGGTTGAATTTACCCTTGTAATGACTTTGCCGTTGCATTTTTCTATCCAAAATTCCTAGTCAAATTCAAACTCAACTCTGAATTTTGAATGTCATCACTCTTGAAAACATAGTCCACGGTGCGCGTATTGAATCAAGTTCACACCACAAAATTGGTGTATTTTTTTATTTGTGATTATTTTCGACAACTTAAAAGTGCTTTTATCTTTAAAAGAAAAAAAAAATTATATTTACATATTCATAACCATTGAAAGTGCTTTGTTATCAATGGTTAGCTCAGTAAGAGCTTTTTGGTGAAGCTAAAATTTGTTCACATATTTGGTAACCATTAAAACATTAAAAGTACTTGTAATAGTTATCAATTTTAACTCACTAGAGTTTTTCGAATGAAGCTCAAATTTAATTAATTTTAAAAAGTAGTAAAATGTTTTATGAAAGTTTTGTAGGTAGGTTACTAGGTTGTTTTTGCAGTGAAAGTATTTTATTTATAAAATATTACTCATTTTTACTCATTTTCTTTGCTTATCATTGGTACGAAAATACTAGATTTCTATGGCGAGTTCTTCATCAAAAGTAGAAGTGAAGAGTATCTCATTGTATAAGGTATGGATGTTTACGAAGTAGATCAGAAAAACATTTCTTAAGGGCTCGTTTATTAACGCTTTTACTTTCTTACTTTCACTTTCTCGAAAAGTAAAATCATGATTTTGATTTCTTTGAGATGAAACAGAAAGTAAAATTATGTTTCGTAAATTACAAGTTACTTTTGAAATTTGAAAGCAAAATACAAAAAGTGTGTTTAGTAAACTGCTGTCTACTTTTGAAATTTGAAAGCAAAACACAGAAAGTGTGTTTAGTAAAAAATAATAAATGTCTGTTTTTGCTTTTGGTTCTTAAATTGGGCAAATATCAAATATCAGAAAACAACATACCACGGCCATATTATGATCCAAAGAAGCCTGGGCAAAGTGCTCTGTTTTGAAAACAATGTACGTATGAACACTGCAAGCCCCCAAAATGGTGATTTCCTCCAACAGGTAATTCATATGACTAAATCAAACAACTAATTTGTTAAGATGCAAAATCAACCTATATAAAGAGAGAAATGATTTGAAGTAGGCAATACACTATAATCTATAATGTAATATTGATTGAACTTTTTTTTATTTTTTTATTGGGGAGTTGTCTAATATATGATCCATTTCACTTTTACATGCAGGAAATTACTGGACTTTTTATGAAAAATTGCATGTTACACTATGCAGCCTACAGGAATATATACCCATTGTGGGCTTTGGCATAATACCGAAAACGGGTTCCATTGCAATCAAAGAGTTATAGCTACATAACTGATGCCTAATTAGATTGAATTCATGTAATAAAGGAATATTATGTATAATTAATTGTTGTAGTAGTAGTAGTGTGTGTTATGAATGTATCTCATCTCTGTTGTTTCTTCCACAGGGACAGGGTCAATACCAGTTTGTTCATGTAAATCTATTAAATGTGGGGAAAGGCTCAAATGCCTTTAAGTAATGAGGCATTTCCCCTGTAATAAAGTTGAAATAAGTTTTATATCATTTGAACTATTAGTATTGTCTCTCTCTCTCTAAGCCACACCTAAGATTTGAACTACTAGTACTGTCTCTCTCTCTCTCTAAGCCACACCTAAGATCATGTTAACGACAGTCATGTAAATCTATTTCTGTTTTTGCTTTTGGTTCTTGAATTGGGCAAATATCAAATATCAGAAAACAACATACCACGGCCATATTATGATCCAAAGAAGCCTGGGTTGATTATATTAGTATAGTAACAAGTGAAACACAACTCTAATTTTTTGGCCCAGCATACACATAATATCGAAAACATGCAAATTATAACATGAATTCAAATGGCATTTAGATACAAAATTAATCCAAATAAAAGTAACAATATTCCAATATCCAAATAGAAAATTAATCCAAAGTGACAATATTACAATATCCAAATAGAAAATTAATCCTAATAAAAGTGACAATATTACAATATCCAAATAGAAAAATAATCCTAATAAAAGTGACAATATTATAATGAGCAAATAGAAGTGATTAATCTATCACGATAGTTGTTCCATAACTCATTTGTAACTGCATCACAGGCTTCACTCATCTCTTGAATTAGCTCATGTGTAACATTCACTCTCTGAGAAGTACCACCTAACTCCACTTCTTCTTCTTCTTCTTGAAGATTGGCATTTTCATCCCCATATTCATCAAAATGATAATCTAAACGGGGTTCGTCACGAATAAAATTATGTAATGTGCAACAAGCAATAATGATGAGTGCTTGTACACTCAGTTTGTAAGGAGGCATCAACTTAAGGATTGGCCAACGTATTTTTAATATACCAAAACAACGTTCTATCACATTTATTAGTGACGAATGCCTATAGTTGAATAGTTCATGAGGACCCCTTATTCGTCTCCCCCTATATTCCTGTAAATGATATCTTTTGCCACGATAAGGTGCTAAGAAGTACCTCATATTGGTGTACCCAGAGTCCATAAGATAATACTTACCTACACAAACAAAAAACAATTAATTTTTTTCTAATTTAATATGATATCTTAAACATATGATATCTTAATTTAATACCTTCGGGTGGCAACAGAAAATTCATTGTAGGATCAAAAATAGTTCCAATAATACTCTTGAATTATTCGCGGAACCTTCCCAACCTGCCACCACATATGTAAATTTCATGTCGAAAGAACAAATAGCCATTAAATTTTGTGTTGTGTCTGATTTCCTTCCACGATAAGGAATTTGTGAAGATGCTGGGACATTTGCATGGATATGTGTACCATCAATTGCACCAATGCAATTCTACAAACTATTATTTTGTTAGTAAATATAAATTCACAATACCAATTAATTAAGTAAAAATATATATATTTTAAAAAACTACCTGAAAGAATGGAAATTATTTCTCATTATGTTAAATCTCCAAGGGTACCTCGTTCATATTTGGTGGACATATTATACTCTTCCCTAATTTGCAAACATACTTTAAAACTCGGTGAAAATATTTATACACAGTCCCAATAGAATGTTGATATCTTTCTGCCACCACTCGAACACTTTCATTGTGTGCTAGAGTATACAAAAACATTGCAACTTGTTCTTGTACTGTTACGTACCTAGAATCTTCCAAGCCCAATCCCTTTAACCGTTCACATAAATTTCTAAATACATGTTTATCCATCCTAAAGAGTCGATAACACCTAATGGGTTGGCTATTTACTAGTTCAAGTATATAATTATGGCCTTAAAGCATAGAAGTCATACATGGTCTTGGTGGAAGCATATAATATTCCATATACTCTATGATCATGTAAATAAACAACAAACATACCCCCATTTCCTCTTCTTCATCTTCTTCATCATCATTAATTAAAGTAGGCAAACAAAATGGATCCATAATGGTAAACCTGATGTAATGAAACATGAGATGCATAAAATGATAATGCAACCAATAAAAGTTAGGAGAAAAAATGATAAACATTAGCAAAACAATGTTAAAAGGCAAGTGTACTAGTTCTAAATCACAGACATAAGTTTACTAGCTTAAACAAATCCCAAATAAAAATTACAAACACCAAAAGAAAAAACATTGTCTCAAACAAACACAACAATTGCAACCCATCAACACATAATGTTGCAACCTATCAATCTAGTCCCAGTTGCAGCCTATTAATCTAGTCCCAGTTGCAGCCTTTTAAGCCATTCCTGCTTCTTCTCATCACTAAGTTTAACAAATACTCTACTCCAGAGTGGATCATCACGAAATTGTTTTAGGGCCTTGAAAAATGTGTCGCCATCAATTGGTCCCATGTCTTCTAAGATTTACAAGCATTCAATAACTTTAACGGAGTCTTGATCAACTTGAGATATACCACTTGAGCTTCCACCCTTGTTTAATGCCTCTACATTTTTTTTTTAAAATATTCGCAAAATCAACTCATAGCAGAGGTAATTGTCTTTTGAAAGCTCTCTTTAGTTGATCTTGTACGAGCAAGGTCAGGAGACTGACTTCTACGACGAGAAGTATCCACCACTTTATTGATCTCATTAGGATTTTCATCTCCCTCATTACCACTAATACATGGGCTTCTATTTGAAGGGTGAGCACGATTACCAGTTGCATATGTATCACCGAATAAGTTACTAAGCAGATCATAATGTTTACACCCTTTTTTCTGAAATCGCTTGGCATGCCTGACTTGCTGCAATTATATATTATTGTTAATTTATATGAAACAATAGATAATATTAAAAATAATATATTCCAACTAACCTTTTCTATCTCCTCCCATTGGGCATCTGTAAGTGTGACCTGACCAGTTACAGGTCCTATGATGAACCAATGTTAGATATAAATTTTTTGTATGCTTTATATCGGTCTCTCAACCCATTGAATTTATTCCTCAATTGTAGGTTCGTATATTTTTCTTTAGTTAACCTTAACATCCCTTCTTCTAAATTTTTCCATCATTCAGTAAAAAATGTGATGTCTTTCTGATTTCCATTCTTTCTTTCTTTTTCCATCAAAGTTATTAAGATCTCTTCATTTTTTTCACTCCATAGAAATTGAGAACTTTGATCCTCAACCACATTATCCTCATCCAATAATTGAGTACTTTGATCCATCACTACAACAATTAATACTATGTGAACAATTACTATATACCAAAGTAGCTAACACAACTTAATTGAGTACTTTGATCCACCACTACAACAATTAATACACTTCTACAACTTATTAGATCAGAATAAAATAAATAAGCAAACAGCCTAGCATTGAACATATAATACTGTAAAATAATATAAGGAACCAAATCTCTATATTACAGTAACTATAACAACAATAATCTTATGAGGATGCTCATAATTAAAATAATGATAATTAAGTTCATATATTATTAGTTGATATTGATGAAAAAAAAAAACACTCAATCACGGTCCACTTAAATGTAAGTTATGCAACCATCAGTTTTTTTTCAACAATTCTGTGAAATGGCTGAGGTTATCTACAATTGTCCCTCTCAAGATGATTGATTCCTTTACACAGTGCTACTTGAATCACAATGAATACATTTAGTTTCTATGGGAAGTCCACACTTACACTATGCGGAACATTAAAATCCAATAACTGCATTTAGGAACCAACTACCAATTAAAAACCCAACTTTACACTATGCGAAGAATGTTAAACCAAAATAAACGCACCCAATTCAAAGTTGATGGTAAGAAATCCAAAACCAGAACTTCTCATAGAAATTACACAAAGAAAAAAAGAGCTTAATCCATAATATTAGCAACAAGGTATAAATTCCCACAAATAAATTACATAAGGATTTGTTGAGTTGAAATTCCATTTTTCTCAGTTTTTGAGGTACAACATTAACTCTTATTATTTCAGATTTCTTATCGTAAAACAATGGAACACGCATAAAGGAAATGAGAAAAATTTTCTAAATGGCCCGACGGTTGAAATTGCCATGTTATAGATGTATAAACCAATAAATCACCAAGATTAAATTGAAATTCCATCAATTAAGTCATCCAAAATAGAATCTAAATTTGACATAGAATGATAAAGGACTCATTCAATTTCCACAAGACATGAAGCATCATTAGTTTGCTAGAGATTCTTCGAAACTACAGGCCTCTCATTCAAGTGCTCAAAGGTATCTCCTCCTCTTACATGGGAGGTTCACGATTCTAAATACCATTGAAACAACAGCTAATATGTGCATGTGTTGAGTATGTACCTATCATTTTAAAAAATAATAATAATAATAAATAAAAAAGAAAGAAAAGAAATACACTTAGTATTGCTTTCAGGCATTATAATCCAACATAATATTAACCCATGATATCCAACAAAGAGACAATGTAATGAAACAGAATTATGTAAATATTGAAATTTCACGGATTTAAAAAACCACACAGAGGAACATTACTAAATATACACATACAACGAATAGCACATTGAGGAAAGCAAAGGGATTGGGGCCGAAGAGGTCTTTGATTTGAGGGTACTGAGGGAAATTGCTATATATACACATACAAATATTTCACTCATAAAATGATTCAGGAAGAGAAATTACAGATTCTAAGGCAAAATCTTCATATACGAGGAGAGAGAGAATCTGAGAAGAAAGAGAATCTGAGAAGAGAGAGAATCTAAGAAGAGAGGCCGAACTTACAGGTGGTGTTGTTGGTTGGCCGTCGAGTCTCTGTTACCGATCGACGCTCACAGATAAGGGATGACGATCGGCCCGAGCTTGGCTTGTTGATTCATCTTAGATCGCCCTAGTAGAACTTTCTTGAAACAGATATGAGGCGAGAGGCTAGGGCTGCAATGTTGTGATGATGATATAAACGAGGACGGGTTTTAGGTTTTAAAAAGTTAAAGCTACAGTGTTTAGCGCTACAATGTCAAAATTACTTCCTCCGCACAATACAGGAAGTAGAGAAAGTGAGATTTTCTCACATTCTCTTCTCTTCACAAATTTAGGAATTACTTCCTCAAAATGAAAAAGTGAAAGTAATTTAATAAACGTGATTTTACTTTTATTTTTTCTTTTTCAGAATTGACAGTAGAAAGTAGGAAATAATTCCTGTTACTAAACAGGCCCTAAGTAAATGTGTTAGTGTATCAATAAGTGTAGTATTTGGGTACAACTTTCGGATCAGTGTATAGAATATGTATTCAATCCTCACCCTCGCACGAAACTCCTCACCATTTGGAGCTTTCAGTTGGAGCTTATTTGATACTAATCAACTCTTCACTATTTATAGGCATCTTAGAAACTCTCTACAACTTTATAAAATTCTCTGTTATTCTAACATTCTAAAATCTTTCAACAATTTCTATAATACTTTGAGAATTTTTAAAAATTCTATAATTGCACACCACTCATATCATGCAGATGCTTTCGTTAGCATCCGCATGTCGCCTATGTAGCGTAGCCTCCTTACAAATACTTGGCGCGTGACAAAAATAAAAAATAAAAAATAATTATGGTAGAACAATTGGCCATCATGCTTATAAGAAGCACATCCCAAGTTTGGATTTTGGAGACTTAAAACTTATCCCATGACATTGTGTTTTGCTAGTCTCACCGATGGGAAAGGAAGGGTACCCCTCTCGTCACACAAATAGTGTACAATTTTTTAGTGCCTAGTCATAAATCATAATTGCATAAATATAAAAAGGTAAGTGCAGAAAACACCCCTGAAGTATACATTTTGTAGCACTTTTACACCCCAATTAAAAAAGTATACAATAAACACCCCTAATCTTTTGATATTGTGCAAAATTACCCCTCTATCATAAATCTGACATAAATTAGTGCTGTAATACATTTTTTACCCTTTTTATTCCTTCCAAAATGCCCATGCAATCATCTTCTTCACTGGCCGAAAATTTCAATGTTCACCGCTGAAATTTCTTTGATTCTTACTTTAACAAACCCATCAAACTTGACTTCTTACCCGTAGAGGTACTGCGGGAAGTGAAGTATCAATGTCAAAGGGCAATACTCCCATCTCTTAAAAAAAAAAAGCGTATCAATAAAAATGAGTAACAATGGACTAAGATTTAACGAAAGATTACAAGCGAGCGAGCAAACTTCTCCAGAAACAATGAGATTATTGACTAGAATTTTTATTTTGTCTTTGTTTGTGTAAGTGTGACGGCCCAAGTTTTTCAACCCAGTGCGTCAGTGATGAACCGAAAGATGACCCGATAACGCATCCGAAATGCGGAAGCAAAAGACAAAACAACAGTCTCTAGAGGTACAACATGGCGCTAAGACACCATTATGACCCTCAACGAGGTCACGGAACCCAAATGAATCAAATGCGGAAGCAACGTTTCAAAAACGAATAAGAATGAACCTAGGAGCAAAATCGTCATTTACAGCTTAAAAGTGGGTACCGCCGAGCACACCATTGGAAAGACAACGAAAAATTAATGAACATAAACTCAAAAATCACTTGATTCGAAGTCCGGATGAATAAGATATGACTAACGGAAGAAGAAAGGGCAAAACGGTAAAAAATGTGACAACAAAGAACATCTAACCGGTTACCAAGCTTTCCTAACCGGTTAGGAGACCAAAAATTTCGACCAAAACACTGCCCATGCACATGTAACCGGTTACGAAGACCCTTCTAACCGTTTACATGTGAAGGGTGCAGAATAGGCAGCCCAAAAACTTGGCAGCAGGGGTTTTTCCGGAAAAAATGAAAATTTGAGGGCCTAGATGACTCGTGAGAAAAATCAAAAAATACACACTGTGAAATGTCTAAAATGCCTTCCCAAGAAAACTGGTCCAGAGGGTCCAAAAAGTTGCTAAATGGAAAAACAGAAGCTGAACTTCGGGATTGATTTCCGATGCCAAGAAGACATTTTCTTGAAAAACACGAAGAAGAAACCCCCTCTAAAATCACATTTTCTAAGTGACCATGTGAAGAACGGAATTTATTTCCAAAAGAAAATTCCAAAAATACCCTTAGATGAGATTATGCAACCAAAGTGTAAAATGAGTCCGTAAGAGGCTCATTTCACCAAAAAAGAAGCTTTATCCAGAAACGACCATACATGCAAACGTAACTTACCTAGTAAGATGTGCTACAATGGTTCATGGCCCAAAAATATAGCTGATGCAAAATATGACCCCCCAACGGCCAAAATGCCAAAAATGTAATTTGAAATGAAAACTTGGAATTCAAAACTATGAAATGACTTCAAAATACCGTTTGGCCTTTGGTCACACCTCGTACATGTTAAATGAATTCTAGATAACGAATTTCATACACAA